TCTTTCTTGAAAAGTGTCATTTAGAGAAATGATGCCTACAAAAATTTCCTCTAAGGTGCTTCATGTCATGAATCCATTGAACTTACCTGAAACCTGGATATGCTGCAAGAGAGGCTACCCCATTTCCTGACTGTTATTTTAAAACTCAGACCTCTTTTCAGAAAGCTGCTAAGCCTGGAATCTTCATTTTCAATGAAAGCTGGCTTAGAACTTATTGCTTTTTCCCCTAACCATTCTAACTGGAAACCAATTCTGGACTATTAAGTGCAGAAACAGTTTTACGAGAAAACAGTTATTAATATCATAGATTCTCTAGGACTTAACAGAAGATACCAATCAGTCAACTTTTAACTTAGCATTAAACTTTTTCATTTTTTTCATACATTTAATCATTTTTATATTCTAGGCATAAAATAATATTCCACAGCATTTTTTATATAAAGCATTAGAGTTATAAAACAGAATACATGATCTTCCCTTTCTCCCAAATAACAAAACTATCTTCTGCGTCTAAGATTAAAATTTTTTTTTTCATATTTTAAGTTTGTGAAATCAAGACATCTCCTGGAGTTAGTGATTTCTCACCGTTTTCTCAGCATTGTTCTTCAGTGTGGGCACACAAAATAATGATGTGTCTTACAATCAATGGCATCTTAGACAGACAAAATGCCACAGTATCTGTCAGCTGTAAAATACTTTTTCTAATTCCAAGATGTTTTATTTAATCAGTTTCCTCTACTAGTATATAAGTTCTGTTGGGGTACAATTCAACCTCAGTTACTAAATTTCAATCTGTATGGAAATTATAGGAATATCGTACAAAATAACTAGAAGAATAAATACTGATTCTTCCTAAGCAGTTATGAAAAGCCAGGTATTATTGTGAAGCACTTTATGTTTATTTAATTTTAACAACTTAAAATCTGTTACTGTTATTATCTCCATTTTACAGATGAAGAAATTAAGGCTTGTTATGGAACTTGCCCTAGGTCCAGTTCAGTGTTTTATCCCTAACACAAAGCCTGTTCAGAATGAGTATTCGATAAATATTTACTAAGTGAATGAACACTTTCAAAGGAGTCTTAAAACAACCCAGGTAGACAAAATCATTACTAATGTAAGTCACAGAGAAAATGTACAATAAACACAGGCTTAAATGGTTAGTTAACTGCTTAGACCTAGAATGCTGGACTGTGTGGTATAGTAGTTGAGTCCAAAAGCGGCTCAGAATATCTGCTATGGAGTAAATATACCTACATTCGAATCCCAGTTCTGCTATTAGTGATGCATTAGCTCGAGGAAGGTATTCATGCATCTATATGCTCAAGTTTTCTCACCTGTAAAATGAGAAACAAGATCTCGTAAGATGAGATCTTGATCTACATGAGATCTACATAAGATGAGAACAAGATCTACCCCTTCTGGTGTTGTGAAGATTAGGAGTTAATACAGCAAAACGTCATAATATGGTGAGTGGAGTTCAAATAAAGGGTGTCACATTATTTGGAAGTTAATAAATAATATGGGCCCCTCTTAGGCTAATGACCCTATGTTCTAGAGGTATGTTCCTAGTTTCAAAATCTGTTTAAACCTGATTAAAGTTTGGTACTACCAGGCAATCGCTGTCAGCTGATGAAGATGATTCAGGATTCTGTGACTGGCTGGAATGTCCCAGATAGAGAAAGTTTTTCTAGGAATTTCCAGGTTAGTTAAGACTCATTTCCTCAGAGGAGACTGAGCCAACCCTACATCTCTGCAATTCTGTTGACAGGACTGCTGCCTAAGACAGGGTTAAATGATGATTTACTATCTAGTTTGCTTTCCCATCCCCACCACAACCTTGAAAAACGTAAACATTTAAGCTAGCCAGGAGGTAAGACTGGAGTACTGGAGCCAATTGCCAGACGTATAATATCCTACTTTGCATTAATACAGGGACCTTTTTGTGAGTTTTTCCTTTACCTGTAAAACACTTAAAACAGTTTCTAGTACATAATAAACACTAAAAGAATGTTACCTAATATTATTAGCCCAGTATAATTCAAATCACCTCCCTACCTCAATGCCTCACTCTATCATGTTACCTATTTTCCAAAGAGATACGCTACCCTTAACAGCATTTTCAATTTTCCCAAATGTAGTAAAACACTTTGAAAAGAGAATCATACATTTCCTCTAACTCACATTATAAAATAAGACAAAAAATCTTAGTCAAAGGACCCATAAATTAAATGGACATACAGAAGAGGAGAAGTAAATATCAGGTTTGTGTATTTTTCAAGTCCCAAAGATACTACTAAATGAGCCAGGGAAGAGGAGAAAATACTGGTTATAATAAGACAATTTTATAAGCATGAAATATACCTCTTTTTCAAAGCACAAAGATTTCTAAGGCTAAGCAAATAGTGTATCTATGTTCTATTTACAATATGCTAGTTGCAATTCTCAGTTTCATAACTAATTATCACGTCTTCTCTTTTAAGTAACTTCAAATAGTCAAAATAGTTTGATTTAATATGCACAAGATAGTCAAGACTAGAATATATCATAATTCTTTGATCAATTTGTTAAATATTTTGAATTTGGAAATTAAAATCTTCATAAGAAATATATATCTTTATGCACTGTCATTTTGGGACAAAGTCATACGGATTTGATCTGAATATTATTATAGAAAATAAATAATAGCTTTGAAAAATGAAATCAGTGAATATTCTATGGCCTAATTTTATGTAGAAATACTTCGTAGTTAGTTTATAGAATTTTTCAGTCTTCCTATTCCATGAATGCTTTAACAATGCATGAAACTAGTTTAATATTTGGGAGTTTTATATTTCTGGTATATCTATTAGTAGTTATTTTTTCAATTTCTATTAATTGTATTCAATTCAAATTGCCAAAGAACAAAAATACATGTGGAGCTTTTATTTGTTTTAGTTTTCAAGTAATAGCAATCTAATTAGATAAAACAATCACTTCTAGGCAATACTGGCCCATCATATAATTATGAAAAACAAAAAAACAAGAAATGAAAATAGAATGTCACTCTATGAGATTCTTAGAGTTATTAAAACTAAACTATATAAGATTTGGCACAAATAAAGTACAACCCAAACTCCCTACTTTGGATCCACCAGCATTATACGTGTTCATGAGTGCTTCATCTTAGTTTTCTGAAATGTTAACTAAATTCACAAACTGTGACCAGATATTTTTCTATACAAAGGAAACTGTACAGCATTTATTTGTATAGTCATGTGCCACATAACTGCATTTTGTTCAACAACAGACCACATGAACAAAGGTAGTCCCATAAGATTATAATACTGTATTTTTAATATACCTTTTCTATATTTAGATATGTTTTGATACACAAATACTTATTGTGTTACAATTACCTACAATAGTATTCAGTATAGTAACATGCTGTACAGGTTAGCAGCCTAGAAGCAGGAGGCTATACCATATGTGTTGCTGGATGGTATAGCAACAGGCTATATGGTATATAGTGTAGTAGCCTATACCATCTAGTTTTGTATAAATACACTCTATGATGTTCCTCTAGGTTTGTGTAAGTACACTCTACGATGTTCACACAATGAGGATACTGCCTAACAATGCAATTCTCAGAATATAACTGCATCGTTAAGCGGACACATGATGTTCTTCATTTGAGCAAGCCACTAGGAGAGGGTGGTATACACTGTATACAGATGTTCCCTGAAAAGTTCAATATAATGAAGACTACTTGAGAAAATGATATCTAGTAGCTGTCAGACTTTAGCATCTCCAATATGTCTGCCAATTCCTAGTAAGCCAAATTGCCTACAAAACCAGGATATTTTTATAAAGTACCTTGTCTGGTTTCTCACATCATTTTATTTCAGGAGCATTTTATGAGAACTCTGCTACATATTCTACTTCCCATCTGGTTCATATTTAACAGTGTATCCCACCCTGTTCCTTTTTAGGCTCCAAAACCAGATGTCTCTGATGTCACATAAATGTGGCAAGTCACACTATTTCAGCCAACTTCTCTGACTTTTTTTCTTCACTTACAGTTAGGCAAATGAGCTATTTGTAACCCTTTATGCCATCTTAACTCAGAAGTATTAAGAGCGCTCAAGTACTTCAACTCATAAAACAAAAAGATTGATAAATATTTATGGAATATCAAACAAATGGGGAGTAGAGAGTAGGGCAGTCTACCTCCTAATGATAGTTTCCTAGTGACGATTTATACTCTGATAAGGCAGTGCTACTTAGGAAAAAAGATAACAGCAATACTTCTTATCACATTTAATACTGAGACTTACAATTTGCTTTCTCCCTTCACTGTAATTACCATCAGCAAAACTTTGAAAATCAATATATACATCAAGAAACTATGCACAAAGTACATGAAATTACATTATCAAACATGGAGTACATATAATATATATTACTTAAAAGACGTCTATGCATTAGTATGGAAAACAAAATAATATATTTGTAAACAGTTCTAAGATAACACACACTCTTGTTTGAAATGACATCAATACCAATTTATATTCTATTCTATCTTATTTTAGGAAACAGTATATTCCAGAGAATTCTAAAATCTGAATATCTTTCATATAATTATAGTCTACTACAGGAAATAACTATGCTTAATCCATCTTTGTTCATAGTTTTAGTTTTATTTTTATAACAACCCTAATTTTCATAGATAATACTAAGGAGTGTCTGTTGATAATAAACTACAAAAATGAACTCAAATGCCCCAAACAGGTATCAGGGTGGTTTTTTCAATTATATATGAAAGTTTTATAAAGTGATCACATGAAATAATTTAATGGGTTGTAAGAGAAAAAAATTAAATGAATTGAAAAATGTTTTCTTTTAGGCCAAATGAATAGATAAAATTTGTATAAGAAATGCTATTTAGTCTATATTGCAATCACTATTGCTATGTAATGGCATATTATTGTGTACTAGCAGTGCTATTAAATACTTCTTACCTTCCCCTTTCAACTGCTAAGGCATCAAGTTCATCAAAGAAAATAATGGAAGGAGCCACTGCTCTCGCTTTTCGGAAGATCTGGTGGAAAGAGTGTCACATTAGTTAAAGATCAACAAACTCCAGAAAATTCTGTAGTTGGTTTTAGTTTGAAAACTGTATTTAGAACCAAATCTATTAGGTACAAGTCAACCAATCCAATTACTTGTGTAAAACTCAGGATTTTGTAATGGATGTAAAAGTATCTCCTTCAACAATGCTTACAGAGATAAGACTACCAATACATACTCAAATGGGTGTGACGAAGGCAATTTAGTTAAGCAAACAGATAATCTCAGTTAAAATCCCACCTCTACTACTGAGTACCTGTGTGTCTTTCAGCAGGTAATTTTACTTCTCTAAACCTCAATTTCCACATCTATAATATAGACAATTGCCTACCTCAGAAGAATATTTTAAGAATTAAATAAAAAAAAGAATACAAAGCATTTGGCACAATGCCTAGAACATAGTAAGAGCTCAATAAATGATATGCATTATTAACTATTATAAACATATGTTTAAAAGAAAAAACATAAATGTGTAAAATTAGCCATAGACTAGCATATATTAATAAAATACCCATATACTCAAAAGTCACATGCCTTACTCATTTCTTTGAAGGCTAAATGGGAAAGCAATGGCTGATGAAAAGCCAGGACAAGAAAAATGGTCAAACCTTAGAAGAGTATGTGCCGTCTGCAGCAAAAGCCAACCAAACTACCAACCTCAGAGACTGGCAGACACCCAGAGCAGAAATGTGGAAATGAGCTAGAAAAAGGCACCACAAGCAGAAAGAAATCTGTCCTATAACTTAGACCCCCCATTTTTTGGTCACAAGTAGTACAGCCATAAAAATACAAAACAGTTACCAAAACATTAACATGAATAAACACTTCCTTTTTCATGCTGTCATTATCAGTTAATATTTTATATGATTATCATTATCTACAATTTCAAGGAAAAAAAGGACAAAAAGTAATTTAAAATTTTTTGTCATGACAAAGTATTCTGATCCTTAATACTTCTCATTGGTACTTCAAAAATAAGGACCATCATTCCATCTTTGTTTTTGTGTTCTTGCCCTTACTCAGTGTCTGTGAGCACATAGGGTCCCTGTGTGAGACAGGACAATACCTGCTCAGGAAAGACATGCGGACAAATTGCTGGCTCTAGTTGCCTTGACTCTGCATGAATTTACTAGTTGAGTAGGTTCCTCAACATGAAGGAGTGACACAATCAGGCACTGGCTTTAAAGGCCTAGCTTTAAACTTAAGAGAGGGAGAAAGATGCATCATCTAAATCACCAGAGAGAGGCCAAAGAAGTAAGATTAAAAACAGTAAGAACAGTACAGTGAAATTTACATATGCTAAGCTTATTCAATTTAAGTCCTTATTCATTTAAAGGACTTAAATCCCATTTTGGGATCATGTGTTCTCCTTTGTAGATACAGACATATCCTTTATTTTAAAAAAAAACAGAAATGCTGGTAATTTTTTTAAATATCATTATTTGGTAAAAATAAAGGCTGGTAATATGATGTTTAAAATAATCCCAAAGTATTACAGATGATCAAAACTGCATTTCCAAATAATAAATAATATTTGCCTGAAGAAAAAAATGTACCACAAAAATTTGGATCTGGAAATTTCAAAGTCCGTTACCCCAAACAAAATGGGAACCACACAGAAAGACAGAAGCGTGGTTCCCTAAGGCAGAGTGCCACTTAAGGGCATAATTTCTTACCTCTCTAACTGCTCTTTCAGATTCGCCAACATATTTATTCATTAACTCAGGCCCCTGCATGAAAAGAAAACAACTATTCAGTGTCTTTATAAATGTAACCATGTATATTTCTTTTGATTAAGGAGAAAAAATATACACAGACAGAAAAGAAACAAAAATCTGTTTTAATTAAATTAGTTCCTTTAGCATGCTTATTTTCACTAGGTGTTGTCTATGCCTTAAAATTTAAAGCCATTCTATGTTCTAAAAACTGCACGTTAATACAAAGGAAAGGCTGTGACTAAATGTAATATTTTAACATCTATTCAACACCTGTGTATACCTCCATTAATATTTTTACAATATGCCAGGCATGGTGCTAGGCACAAAAGATAGAAGAGCCTAATTTGGAAGACAACAAAAAGGTAACATACATTCCCATTCCCAGGCCTAACTAATGTGATTAGGTCTACTTATCAAATTCAAAGATGCACATATTTTGACATTAACATTTCTGAATTTTAACATTTTTTTTCTCAAGTACCTAAATATCAGATATTGTAAGAAAAGTGGCAGACTTTTTTTTTAACCACACACCTATTGTCTCAGAATACAGTCACTCCAAGAAGCCATGGAATATTAAAAAAATTGAAACTGTCCTTAGAACCACAACTATTCCCTTCAGAAACGGACATAAAGTTTCTCCCATAATGCCAGATGTCTTACTCAGCTATGGAGACTTTTCTCTCAGTGTATTCATTGTTCCTCCCAGCATTTAGCTGTGTTGACACAGTTCCCCCTACACGCCAAATCCAATGGACATTATGTATGTGTGTGCTGCTCTTTCCTCTCTGCAGACACACAAACACAACATACATACCCACAACACACACACATACCCCCTCTTAGCTTGAACAACATTCATATTCTATTCCATGAGATCATTGGTCCAGACAATTCAGGGGATGTTACTAGACATTAGGTTGAGTATTTCCTAAACAACTGACATCAATTTTTAAAAAACTGACTGATTCAGACACATAGGCAAACCCTAGCAAAATTTCAACTAATCCCACAAATTGGTTTACATAGTATTTAGCTTCACTTAAAACATATTACAAGGAAAATTAGCATACAGTATGGCAAGTACTATGATAGAAGCATGTGGAGATACCATTGAAACCTACAGAAGAAATTCCTTTGAGTCAAGGAATGTTCCTAGAGAAAGTAACATTTCAGGTGAGTCCTCAGTTGATTTATTCCATATTCTCAAAAGTATGAAATACAATAAGACCCAGGAAGAAATCAAAAAGATCTCTGATGAACCAAAATAAATATTACTATATGCACTTTAGAAGAGCTCTTAAGGTCTTTAGTGAGAGTTCACTGACTTTTAAATTATACACAAGACTAACACACTTGAGTAGAACTGATGTACAAATTTAGTACATGTATAACATAGAATACAGGGAGATTGCAGCAATCATAAGGTTACTTAAAGTGGGAGGCTGGGAGGGCATCAAAACAAATTTGTATTTTACCCTGTAAGCAATAGGAAGGGTTTAGGGAAAGCTAACTGATAATAAGGATTTTACTGAAAGATGATTCTGACCACAAAATAAAAGACAGTTAGGAAGGACATATGAGGCCAGAAGCAGAAAGGCCAGGAATAAAATGATTAAAACAGTGATGGTCAGAAATGATGAGGAACAAGATTAAAGCAAAACAATGGCAATGCAGGGGAAATGAGAAGATAGCCACAAAAAATATTAAAAAGATAGAATAAATTTAATTTGTTGTACGTAGCAAGATGTGAAGGTGAGAAACAGTGAGGTACAGAATAATTCAAAATTTGACTTCATGGTACTATTTTTGATGTTCATGATAATGATTTAATTCACCAAGGAAAAAGATGCTCAATATATTCAGTGTGGCAGCTCTCACAAATATGTAGTTAATAAAGTGGTATCACCAAGATGGCTGAATAGAAGGTAACCTGCTCATATCACCCAGTAACAAGAAGCCTGCACCTTAATGCACAGTCAAAAGTCTCTCTGAAGGAGCATCAGAATTCAAGCAGGAGTTTGTGAAAAACCCTGATGGAGCAAGACGTAGAAGGGTTGTTTAGAGAGTGCAGACCAACACCGTTGGCTGATCTGACCTGCTGAGCTTGCTTCCAGGTCCAAGCCCAGAAACAGGCCAGTCCCCCATGCGGCTTGGCTGGCCTTGTGCCTGCAACCAAAACCATCCACCAAGGGGCCCAAAAAGAATTGTGCATACTACTGCCTCAGCTGAAAGGCTTACATCTGTCTCAGAAGTGAATGTGAAAGTTGGCCTATAACACTACTCCAGGATTCTCCAATTGAGATCTCAGCTCAGAGCTGCTCGCAAAAGGACCCACACAGAGGGAATGATATGGTTTGGATGTTTGGCCCCTCCAAATATCATGTTGAAATAAGATCTCCAGTGTTGGAGGTGGGGCCTGGTGGGATGTGTGGGTCCTGGGGACAGATCTCTCGTGAATGGTTTGGTGCCTTCCCTGTGATATGGTAAGTTCTGATTTTATTAGTTCACTTATAAGTTCACTTATTAGTTCACTTATTAGTTCACTACTTTAAACTGGTTGTTTAAAGTAGCCTGGCACCACCTCCTCCACATGCTTGCTCCCTCTTTCACCTTACATCTTGAATGGAAGCTCCCCAAAGCCCTCACCAGAAGAAGCACAGTTTGCATAACCATGACCCAAATAAAGCTCTTTTCTTTATAAATTACCCAGCTGCAGGTATTTCCCTTATGACAACACAAAATGGGTTAACATGGGGAGACTCAATCATGTTTCGCAGCCCAAGAACTTGAGCCTCCCTGACAGGCTTGTCAACCTCCTTCCAATAGCAGATCCCAGTGGGCCCAGTCTCAGCTCTGGTACTTCTTGCTGCAGTTGGGAAACTACCCCCTCTGTGCTGAGACCTGCTGTGAGATGCATGCCAATAAGACAGGCTCTCCAGCCTCTGTCCCACAGCAGAGTCTAAGAAGGCTATCTCAGCTCCAGCCTCTCCTGCTGACACAGGGAACTATCCCATCTGTATAGCATCCTCTTGGGAGACAGGTACCCCAATAAGCTGAAACCAGGCCTCTCTAGCTTCTATCTAACAACAGATCCCAAGAGGGTCCAGTCTCAGCTCCAGCCCCTCATGTTGCAGTAAAGAAACTACTCTGTGCTGAGACATGCTGAGAGACACACACCCATCTGAGCAAATTAGACAGGCCCACCAGCCTCCTTTCCACAGCAGATTCAAAAGCAGCTCAATCTGAACTCCAGCCCCTCTTGCTACAATTGGGGACCTATCCCACCTGTGCAGAGATGTGCAGAAAGGCACACTCATCTGGGCCACTGGGATACTAGTAAGGCCTTACCTGTCAGTAACAACACTGAATTCAAATGAACTAAATTCTCCAATTAAAAGATAAGAATGGCTGAATGGATTAAAAAACAAGAATCAACTATATGCTGCCTATAAGAAACACACTTCACTTACAAAGATAAACACAGACTAAAAATGAAGGGATGGAAAATAATATTCCATGCAAACAAAAACCAAAAAAGAGCAGGAGTAGCCATATTTATATAAGGTCAAATAGATTTTATGTCAAAACAGTGGCAAGAAGCCTAGTGTAGTGGCTCATGCCTGTAATCACAGCACTCTGGGAGGTCGAGGTGGGAAGACTGCTTGAGGACAGGAGTTTGAGTACAGCCTGAGCAACATAGTGAGACCCCCATCGCTACACACACACACACACACACACACACACACACACACACACACAAATAGAAATTAGCTGGGCATGGTGGCATGCACCTGTAGTCCTAGCTACTTGGGATGCTACACTGGGAGGATCTACTGAGCTTAGGAGAGCAAGGCTACAGTGAGCTATGTTGTGCCACTGCAGAAAGACAAATAAGGCCATTATATAATGATAAAGAAGTCAATTCAGCAAGACGATATAACAATAGTAAATATATATGCACCCAACACCACAGCATCCAAATATATAAAGCAAATATTAATATTAATTGATCTAAAGAGAGAGATACACTGCAATACAATAATAGCAAGGACTTTAACACCCCACTTTTGGCAATGGACAGATCATCCAGGCAGAATGCCAGCAGAGAAACACTGGAGTTAAACCATACTCTACACCTAATGGACCTAACAGACATTGATAGAACATGTCATCCAACTGCATAGAATACACATATTGTCACCAACCCATGAAACATTTGCATGGATTTTGGTATATGAAGGGATCCTAGAACCAATTCTCCTCATATATTGAGGGATGACTATATTTTCTTAGGCATTACTCAACACTTACTTCAATAACTTATGTGTATGAATGTAGAGTAGGATAGGATAACAAATACAGTTATGTTGATCCCAGGGTATGGAGTGCTCTGGGATAGATAAAGAATAATTCTAGAGTACTAGAGGAGGTAACTGGAGTGCTCAGTAAGACAAGGAGGGAGCTAATAAACTAGGAAAAAAAAAAACTGAGAATGAATTCGCCTATATTAAACCAAAGTTAGAGATAGTATGAAATAAAAATCAAGATTTTCTATGTATTTAGGGAAAGAAACAGATATAAATGTGTGCATATTAAGTCCTCTGTCATCATCAATAGGGTCTTGAAAACTGTAACTTTAAGCAAAATGACATTCAGCAAATCCTCAAATAACATCATTTTGTTAACGTCCTTTTGTTATAACACTGATGAAAAAAAATGGGTTTCACTGTACAGTTTCACTTAAAGTTGAAGGTTCCAAGAACGTACCAGTAACTCAGTAACATTAAGTGAGAATTTACTGTACTTACATATGTATATATGTACTTATGTATGTACATACACAAATATGTACCATATAGGCATGTGTGTACGTACATACATATGTACCATACATATTTTTTCCTGAGCTCTGTTCTTTGGGAGTAACTGAGAGCAGCAATATGCCAACAAGAAGCACACCTAGCACACAGAACTTGGCTTCTAAATTTTCCACCAAAAAGACCAAGGAC